CTGGACGCGATGCCCCGACAAAGAAGCCTTTCTTCATCGACACAGGTAAGCCTCGTGAAACCAGGTTTACCTGTGTCGATGAAGAAAGGCTTCTTTGTCGGGGCATCGCGTCCAGACTCCCCCGATCTGCCGACAAACAGCTGATCGGCAGATTGGGGCAGCCATTTAAATTTAAATGAAGCCGCGATTATTTTAATCGCGGCTTCATTTCCCTTTTCCGATCTGGCTAATCTACATGCCTCCGTCGAAGGAGGCATGTAGTCTAGACACACCCGTTCTTATTGAACCTCATCAGATTTCTTTTGTCCCAAACCTATAATTTGTCCAGGTCAGTGTTTCTCAACCAGTGGTACGAGAACCTTTAGGGGTACTCAAGAGAAGTCTAGGGCAACGGGTGGTCCATCAACACAAGTGAAATTTGGAGAAAACTGAATTTTTGTTTTAAGTTTTACAGCACTTCATTATGTTTGTACTTTTTACACCCAAAAATATCATCAACCACCCGGCTACAATTAAATTATTTAAACAAATGTGTTGCAATGGTAGAAAAAAAAAGTGTGTCTGAAAACTGTAGGGCTAGGTCTATACTGCCTTCTTTTTCAACAAAAGTTTATGCAAATGAAGCGTGGATTCATTCTCCTTGGAATTATTAGGAATTAGATAGAAAATAAGACCCAAAATATTTTACTGCCCCTGTATAAAACTATGGTACGCCCACATCTGGAATACTGTGTACAGATGTGGTCTCCTCACCTCAAAAAAGATATTTTGGCCTTGGAAAGGGTTCAGAAAAGGGCAACTAAAATGATTAGGGGTTTGGAGCGGGTCCCATATGAGGAGAGGTTAAAGCAACTGGGACTTTTCAGTTTAGTAAAGAGGAGACTGAGGGGGGATATGATAGAGGTCTATAAAATCATGAGTGGTGTGGAGAAGGCCGATACAGAAAAGTTATTTATTAGTTCCCTAAATAGAAGAACTAAAGGACACCAAATGAAATTAATGGGTAGCAGGTTTAAAACAAATAAAAGAAAGTTCTTCTTCACACAGCGTGTAGTCAACCTGTGGAACTCCTTGCCAGAGGAGGCTGTGAAGGCTGGGACTATAATATAGTTTAAAGAGAAGCTAGATAATTTCATGGAGGTTAGGTCCATAAAAGGCTATTAGCCAGGGGATAAAATGGTGTCCTCGGCCTCTGTTTTTCAGAGGCTGGAGAGAGATGGCAGGAGACAAATCGCTCGATCATTGTCTTCGGTCCACCCTCTCTGGGGCACCTGGTGCTGGCCACTGTCGGTAGATAGGATACTGGGCTAGAAGGAGCTTTGGTCTGACCCAGTACAGCCGTTCTTATGTTCTTATGGATTAGCATATTACTATGCTTCATTTTGCATAATTAATTAGGAGGCTTTTCGCACAAGAGGTTTTTGCGCAAAAAGGAGCTGTCTACACATCTCCTTTTTGCGCAAAAACCCCCTCTTGTGCAAGAACCGTTCTTCCTGAAAAAGAACGATGACCTCGATTTTCTATCCACCTTACAGTCCATTTATCCAATCCGTACTTCTTTCACTTGCAGGCAAGAATACCATGGCAGACCATAGCAAAAGCTTTACTAAAGTGAAGGTACATCATGTCCCTGGCCTTTCCCATGTTGACACAGCCAGTCACCTCATCATAGAAGCTAATCAGATTGGTCAGGCTGACTTGCCCTTTGTGAATCCATGTTGACTATTCCTGATCACTTTTCCCTCTTCCAAATGCCTAAAAAGCCTTTCCACGAACCCTGCTCCTAGAAACCCAGCACCCCCTGCTGGGACCCCACCCTGCTTCTGCAGCCCAGTGCCCTTGCTCCCTGGAGCATAGGCTTCCAGCTGAGCCCCCTGAAGCATGATGCCCCCGAGTATCATGCTAGGTCCAGCACTGATGCGGGGAGGGCTGTCTCTACCCCAGGCTGGCCATGGCGTGTGAGTACTTCTCCCACAGCGGGGTGTTGTTCCCAAGTCGTGATTATTCCTCAGAGGCTCTGAGCTACTTGGAGAATGAATTCCAGGTTCGGGATGACGACATCTTCAGCATCACCTACCCCAAGTCAGGTACGGAGGCAGCGGGAGGGAGAACAGCAGGGGATGGGGAGGTGGGGAGCTGAGGACAGGGCTCCTAGTCCAGGAAACACTAGCTGGAAAGCTGCAATGTCACACCCCTTAATTTCCCAGATGCCAGAGCCCAGGAACACTCCCCCTGGGAGTGCTCTCCCTCTGGCACTAGGCTGGCTCTCTGCAGATGGACTGATCACAGGGTTCCCCAGAGCTGCCCCCAGGTCTAGAGACGCTTGGCAAAGCAAAACGAGAGCTTCTGAGTTCATTTCTCTAGTCTGTTCATCTCAGTGCAGGTAGGGGGGCTGGAGCCGGGATTCCTGGCTTCTCTCCCCAGCCCTGAGAGTGGAGGGGACCGAGTGGGTGGAGGGAGTGTTCCAGCCCCTTTAACCCTTTCACCCCCAGGCACTAACTGGATGCTGGAGATCCTGAGTCTGATCCGTTGTGATGGAGACCCTGGCTGGGTGCGCAGTGTGCTGAGCTGGCATCGGGTACCCTGGATAGAATCCCACGAGGGTCTGGAGGCTGCCCTGAAATACCCTTCCCCCCGATTGCTCTGCTCCCACCTGCCCATCCAGTTCTTCCCCAAGTCCCTGCAGGGCTCCAAGGCCAAGGTGAGAGTCAGGAGGGCAGGGGCTGCGGGTCGCCAGCAGGGCTGTGCGACATGGGGTGAATCCAGGGCTGCTGGGTGCGAGTTACACAAGGACACACAACTGGCCCCTGTGGGCAAAGAGCTGCCAGCCGGAGGTGGGGCAGTGAGAGCCCTGGGTTGGTGGCTAATTACCAGATTCCCCTTCCCCCGATTCTACAGCGCTGACCCCCCTCTTGCTCCCTTATTCTGGTCTGATCCCCCATCTCCTCCCTGCAGATTATCTACACCCTGCGCTGCCCCAAGGATGTGCTGGTCTCGTTCTACCACTTCTCCCAGGTTTGTCGCTTCTTGAAGACCCCGGAATCCCTGGGCTCCTTCCTGGAGGATTTCCTGAGTGGGAATGGTGAGCAGCATCCCAAGCCCTGGTCCTCCTGAGGCGAGGGAGACACAGACAAGCCTGCCCCTCCCAACTCCTGGGCTCCCAGTGAGTCACTGATGTGATCCAGTTAGTGCATCCCCAGCCAGCTCTGAGCTGCCCTTTGCTCAGAGCTGAGCACAGCTCAGAGCCCCACCAGAACCAGAGATCTGCAAATGACTCTAACTACTAGACACTACTCCCCTCCCAGTGCCAGGATAGAACCCAGGCACACTGACTCCCAGGCTCCTACTGACCCTGGCAGACCGGCGTGAAGGGGCTGGGTGGTGCTGGCCCTGGGGTCAGCATGCCTCTCTCCTCTGCACAGTGGTTTATGGCTCCTGGTTCGACCACATCACTGGCTGGCTGGGGATGAAGGGTAGCGAGAACTTCTTCTCCATCACCTACGAGGAGCTGCAGCAGGTAGGGAAACCCCACGCCTCAGGCCAGGCCCACACATAGCCCTACTGCTGCCCTGGCCCACACATAGCCCTGTCCTGACCAGGCCCACGCATAGCTCCACCGCTGGCCAGGCCCACGCACAGCTCTGCCCCTGGCCAGGCCCACCCACAGCTCCACCCCTGGCCAGGTGCACGCACAGCTCTGCCCCTAGGCACCCACCCACAGCCCTGCCCTGGCCAGTCCCACAAATAGCCCCATCCCGAACATGCCATAATTTGCTCCATCCAGGACACACCGACACACAGCCTTACCACTGGCCAGGCCCACACACAGACCCATCCAGGGGGCTTGATCCAGACACTCGCAGCTGGGGCTGAAAGCAAGTGGGTGTTCTGGGGTGCAGCAGACCCCGCCTGCCTAGGCTTCAACATTGGTTTTCTGGGAGTCGGCTCTACCTGGCTTATGTTTCTCCGCCCCTTCCAGCCAGCACCTGGCAGATTCTGTGACCCCTGGTGGCTGACCTGCCACTTAACCCAGGTGCTCTGCCCTTTGGAGTCTGTCCCTCTGTGCCCAGTGTGGAGCAGTTACCTGCAGGGGGCCAATGGAGCCCCCTGAACTCAGTACCCCCCTTCATGGCAGCCGATGTCTCCACCAGGACCCACAGGGCAGCGTGCGGAGAATCTGCCACTTCCTGGGGAAGGAGCTGAGTGAGGAGCAAGTGGCTTCGGTGGTGGAGAACGCCTCCTTCCAGAGCATGAAGGGGAACAAGATGTCCAACTTCTCCCAGCTGTCAGACAAGTACATGGACCACCAACTGGGGGCACTGTTGAGGAAAGGTGAGCCCAGGGCTGGGCTAGCAGCCTGCTTTGAGTAAGGAGTGAGGGGCACCAGTGGCGCTGTGGAGAAGGGCTCAGGGCAGGTACGGCAGGGGCTGCGGGTTGGTAGTGAGGGGCTGGGTGGCAGGGGCTGTAGGTCAGGAGTGAGGGGCACCTCAAGTCATGTCCCCTGTGTTTTTCAGGGATCTGCGGCGACTGGAGGAACCATCTCTCAGAGGCGCAGAGCCAGCAATTTGACACTGTTTACCAGGAGTGGATAGTGGATGCAGGGGCTGGGCTTCACCTTCCCCTGGGACTGAGGGCTGGGCAGTTACTCGGCATTGTAGTGCACGGGATGGGCAAGCAAAGCTGCCCCCCCCCATTGGCTTGTAGTGCTTTGTGCCCAATGTATCCCTCCCTGCAGCTTTGTACCCTGTCCACAGAGCTGTCTGATGGCCCTATGCTCCTTCCTGTCTGCCCCCCCAGTACACCGGCCTGTGATACCCACCTATGCTGGGCTTCTTGTGCCCCAGAAGATACCCCTGGGGCAGTAGCACTAGAGTCTCAGCAAAAGGCAGTCAGAGCTGCAGGGACATGTGTCCTGCAGGGGTCAGCACCTACCCCTGGGCACCCACAGGCCAGGTCTGATCCCATGCCTAGGGGGCAGCACGGGCACACACACACATATGCACAGAAACACACACACACGCACACTCATACACAAATATATTTGCTCACATACTTATACACACACTCATGCACAAATATATTCTCACACAAACACACTCATACACAAATATACTCGTGCATATACACAAACATTCTCACCCATACACAAATATACGCTTGCACACACACATGTCTATACACAAATACACTCACACACAGAAATGCAAACACACACACACACACCTATACAAAAATATACTCGCACATACACAAACACTCACATGCACACACAAAGACACAAATACACATATGCAAACACACACATACAGACGCAAATATACTCACTCATACAAACATTCACATAGACACATACACAAACACACATATGCATACATGCACATACAAATACTCACTCACATGTACACACACTCAAACGCAGACCCATACACAAATATACTCACATACACACACACACACTCACACAGACACATTCACAAACACACACAAACACAAATACACTTGCTTACACATATGCAGGCGCACACACGCACGCTCCAATGCTGATGAATGGGTCCATGCAAACCCTCCGTGTCACCGGGTAAATGGTTCCATTCCTGTGGGGAACGTTCCTAGCTTCTCAACATTCCAGGGGGACTGGCTAGTGAAGGGATCTGAGTCCTCACTCCAGCTCCTGGTGCCCAGAGTCCTGCCCCCGAGGGCTCCCCTTCCTCTCGCCCATGGCAGAGTCCTCAGCATCCCACCAAGGCCTAGTTCCTTAGGCCGGGGTCAGGGCACGGGTGCAAATATGGCCGCTTCAGAGAAAGGAGCTGAGTGAGAAGCAAGCAGCCACGGTTGCCCAGCTGCCCATCCTCCTGTGGTCCCTGGACCCACCCAACCCCAACTCCGATGAGGTCCCCACACCCAAGGTGGCCCATCTAGCCACCCCCCCACACCTCTTCCAGCCCTGAGCCCCACCCATCCTCCAGGTTATGAGTCCCCCTCCCCCTGCCCATCTTTTCTTAATGTTACATTAATACAGACCTCTTGTTTTTCAAAAACAAACAGGTGTGTTTATTGAGAGGTCAGGGAAAGGGTGAAGGGAGGGGTTGTGGTGGGGAAGGGATAGGGCCACAAGCCAGAGTTGTCCTTGTTGAACCTCATCAGGTTTCTTTTGTCCCAAACTTTTAATCTGTCTAGGGGTACGTCTACACTACAACGTTAATTCGAACTAAGCTAATTCGAACTAACGGATCCAGACTAAAAAACTAGTTCGAATTAGCGTTTTGCTAATTCGAACTAGCATGTCCACACAGAGTGGACCCTGAACCGGGGTTAAGGATGGCCGGAAGCAGTGCCGGCAGGGCATCAGAGGAGGACTTAGAGCGTGGAGATGCTGTCTCAGGATAGCCCAGGGCTGCGCTTAAAGGGACCCGACCCCCACCCCGGACAGACAGTTCTCAGGGGTGCCCCGCTTGCAAAGCAGTCCTGGCTTGGAGTGCCCGGAGTGCCCACACTGGGCACATCACAGCA